CCGACGTTTCCATCGAGCATCGATGAACGGGAGCATTTTCAGGGATGCCGAAAACGAGGACGGGGGTGTGTGTTAGCTAGGTAGCAGCAGACTGTGTTGGCGCGGCGAAGGGGACTCGAACTGGCAGGACCGGGAAGAAGGAAGGGAGTGCGAGTTGGCCGAAGTGGTGTTTCCCCAGGGTAAGCATGAGCATATACTTGCCCGGGGCTTATTCAGACAAATCGGTGATTGCTGCGGAGGCGAGCGAAAGGGTAGCTCGCCGCCGCCACCGCCGTCACCACCACCACCACCACCAGCACCTTCACCAACACCACCACCATCAGTCGCACATTGCCTTCGCCATCAGCACACCGCACCGAGGTACCCCGCGCGCCGCAAACACGGTACGCTTGCCTTCGGCACAACGATAGAACGAGACTCACCGAAATCCGCTGTGCTTACGGAGAGAGAGAGCGACAGAGACGAACGGCCATACAGACGGACGAGGAACAGAGGCGGAAGTGGCAGAGTGGAGAACGAGAAATACTGAACGCGGCATAGGGATTGTCCGTGAGATGGTGGAAGCGAGAGAGAGAGAGAGAGACAGAGAGAGATACGAAAGGCGGAGAGAGCGCAGTCGGACTGAAGAGGAGCCAGGGAGAGAGAAGAATGATTGTTTCCATGATTACAATGGAGAGAGAGGAAGAGGAAAAGGGGGGAGATGGCTGGGCAGGGGGTGGCGGTCGCGGGTAGAGGGGTATGGGGGAGCAATCTCTTAGCGCTAACGTAGATTCGTGAGACAAGGTCTTTCGAAATATTACACTGGAGGGGGGGGGGGTACGCCGACCGCCACCGACGTGCCCACCGGGAAATTTCGTAACTGCTCGGATACTATGTGTGTGTCAGCCATCGAGCTCGTCCGGGAGGTGTTTTTCCAGGAAAAATACTTTGCGCCTCGTTTGGACGGCCGGGAGATGTGAGGAGAGACTTTCAACACTCAAGTGCTATGTAGCCGCCAGCACCGGTTCCGGACGATTCACAGAGGTAGATTTATACCCCGACGACCGAGGAACGTAAGCCTTTAGATTCAAGGTGCTAATGCTCTTACAAAGGCTAGCGGTGGAAATGGCGGTCGAGCGGTTCCGTCCTAGTAAGTATAGAACTCGTTTTTAATTTATCAGCCGGGAGAGGAAGTCTTTCTCTACGTCTCTTCCTGTTGCAACGAACGCTTCTTGTTGTAACGAGACCGTGGAAAATCCCCGGATAAAAGCGCACCCGGAGACGGAGGGTAGCGCAAGTACGAACGTACGTACGAATAACTAGAGAAATAGTATTTCAGTTATTAAATTAAGGCACACAATGAAACTGCACACTCGGGAGAAGTAACTCTCGAACTGCGACGAAAAGAAGAAATCGTGTACAGCGATTGGCGTGTAACGTTCTATCGGGACAATCAGTTATCCTACTCAAAGGACTCAAGCAGATTACGCACCGAATATCCTGCTTAATCTCATTAAATTCAATTCCGCGCGCAATCACTACGCGCCATCTACTACACGGATTCGATCAAGCAATTAGGTGCTTGATAATTGTCGCGTGGATACCATTTATTTAGCACGTTTCAACTGTTGTGTGGAATACGTGTACGTGCGAGTATGTATGTGTATGTCATTACATTATATAGAGCTATACTTTTAATAATGAAGTTATTTCGTACTTCTCTCGGCGATGCATGCTCGTAAACGTATTGATTCAATATTAATCAGCGTTAATCTACATTCTTAAACGTGACTTGTGCAACGTATAGCATTATGTGAATCATTATTGAATAATTTAAATAAATATTTAATAAATAATCATTTAAATAAATATTAAATAAATATTACTTGACTTTTATTCCAATCGTCCATTATCAAACGTTCCACATTTCCCTCCCCCCCCCCCATTTATAATGTTAATATTTCATGGTAATAAATTGCACTTGAATATTTCTGTCTGTTATTTACATATTTAATTAAAGGAAACTTTCAACGCTGAGGTGCTTTATGCACCAAGAGAAGATTTGTATCTCTAATTAATACCAAAGTCTCTTTGATGCGAAGGATTATCACTAAGCATATTGAGCATCCATAACGAAAGCCGTCTTGACACAAATGCAATTTACCGTATTCACCTTTCGAGAGTCTATCGAGTACGCGATACAATTACTTATATAATTCATTTAAGAATGAAACGAAATATTAAAACAACATCTGTTATAGATCCTTATACAAGCACTCTGCTAAAGAAATCTCAATATCGACTAACCGTAAATCGCCGATGTATCATATGCGATTTTTATATAAAAACTGATTCCACGTAATGTGTCTACGTGAATATCATAATAAAATTCCATTGTTTCGTATCGAGTAACCGCGGGGGAAAATCCAATGAAAAGTATGCATTATAGGATTAACAAACATTGAAATATGCCCTTTATTGTTGGAATTACAACGAACAATAAAAGAAAAAAAAAGTATCATCTTAAACGTGCAGCGAAATAGAAACCTCAGATTTATATTTCATTAATTATCCTTTCGGATCACGGATTACTTACTGCGGATATCCGCAGTTTTCAGGATCGTGACCATGCAAAATACCGAACTAAGTCGCCGTTTAAGTCCCCGAGAGCTTTTTATACGATAAGCATGCCGCGGAGTAGGAGGAACAGTATTATTCCGGGGATAGAATCGAACGAATCGTTATCTTCTCCGTAGGGATAATGACCCCCACAGTCGGCGCCCGATAGTGCCCCTCCTTTCATAGAGAACAAACTGTTATTCCTTCGTGACAATGTACTTAAAGCGTCGTCGATTGTACCTCGATAAAGAAAGAATTCAAACGGCGACTTCCGTCATCTTTCAGTTTTCTCTCGTTTAACCCCTTTCCGTTTCTTCGATAGCTAAAGGCATTCCGTTTTTCGCGTAAATGCACGCTTTCGCCGGAAACTCGATTTATATTGAACTACTTATACATCGATTCGATTAAGCTACGCGACGCACGGCTCGCCGCTTTCCCATTACCATGATCACAAGTAGCAGTGTTACACAAAGGAAAACTCTTTATCGCATAGAAAATTTATAATCAATCGTTTTTCTAAAAAAACAAAAATTCCAAATTCCTTTTTAATTCTTTCTAATTTTAAATATCGTTTCACGGAGAATACATTCAATTTCCAAGCTGTTTAGCTTTAATTTTTACGTATAACTAGTCAGGATACTTTGTACGTTTTGAAACACAAAAGGCTCTAACTAGTGCTTTGAGAAATCCAACTGTTATATTGTAATTTTGTTTTTATCGGTTGAATTTAAAATTTAATATCGGGCCATTTATTTACATCAAGTACCAAAATTGATATACAAGCCCATATTTATTGTTTTATACCAGTATTTTATTCTACATTTTAAATAACTTTTCACATGTGAACGGCGAATGTTTTCTCGAAAAGGGCAACGTTTCATTATTTTTCGTTACACGATATGTTTCTGCGTTAGTTATTAAGTTACATAGCGACGCTCTGCGGTCACTATTCTGTAACAATGCGTGCCACGTGAGCGTCCGCGACATATTAATGTCCTTAAGACCAATTAACCCTATTTTCAGCGATCAACCCTTCGTTGAACTGAACTCGCCGCTGAGGTTGCGGCAAGGTACACGCGTGTCGCGCAGGTGTATGGGTGACACACCACACTCCAGGCTGTGCCCCAGCGCGTCATGTAACTGGCCGCACGCATATGGCCAGAGGCGGTTATATGGGTCGCACAACAGTCACTTGAGATTAATTACCAAGTGCATCGTTAGAGATAACGCGACGAAGGCTGGCGGCGGTTAAGTGAAGCGATGGTACCTAGATACGACGTTAAATTGAACCTTTCGTCGCCGCTGATTCCTGCAATGCCGCCGCCAACCGCACCGGCCCGACCCAAGCCGGGGTGCAAGCCGGTACAATATGCGTACTTGCCTAAAAGCAATTACTGCCGACGTGCACACATACACACATGTACGAGAGGACACATACGTGTGCACTTGACGATAGCGCGCGATATAATATTGTTCGGAGAGCATCTCGTTCATATTGGCTTCGTCAAACCCGTAGCGGGACACGAGCGAAAGACGATGTCTGATGTTAATCTCCGTGCGCGGTTGCTGAATATCATTATGGGTCATGCACCGAGCTATCCCAAGTTAATAGCCTGAACCGACTCTCTGGAAAAAAAATGTCGCGCCAATCAACTAGCGACCATTGAATCTGGATCACTCACATCGGTTACATGATAAATTGATGGATTTTCAAAAGGTGTTCGAGAGGCGTTTAATAATATATGAAGATATTTATTAGAAGAAACGATCATTTACTCGTCATCTCATAGTTTTAATATTTTTCTATCATTTCTAACAAGGGGAACGAACTTTGAGAAGTTGTAGCATTTAACAATATTCCTTAAGCGGATATTCCTCTGGTGCATTTACTCCACTAACCTTTGGAAAATAAAACAGACGTTCGCGCAGTTCCATTAAAGTCGCGTAAAAATAACATCCTGCAACGACAGGATAACTTGAGCGAGATAACGCTATTCCTCCAATAGCGATCTCGCCGGTTACTTTTTAAAGCAGAGAGATTAGTCTCGAGTGTCACGAAACATTTATGACAAATGCTTCTTGTTGATTTATTCAGCAGAAAACTGTTATATCATCCTTATCGTGCGCGTTCCGGTATTAAAGAAAACAATCTGATGTTAAATCGCGCGAATTTGCCATTAAATGACACACAGTGACAAAACATTCTATACGTTTACTCCGGTATTTGCGCGTCGTCACAGTGAAATAATTGATGAAACCATTGGCGAAAATTCCTCGGCGTTGAATTCTCAACGAAATTTCAATCTACGAAAGGAGAACCGGTATTCATTCGCGCTCGCTGATGGGGTTAACGAAAAAAATGTGCGGATCTCTCGATTGTCGTCACATAACATACTCCGCAGGTGGGATGGCTGCGCGCCGAGGATCAGACGGTACTATCGATGGGCGATCGCAAAGTTATCCAGTCGACCCGATACTTGGTCACCCTGGAGAACGCCAAGACGAAGAACCAGACGCAGTCGCGGGAGGACGAGGAGGCCACTTGGCAGTTGCATATTCGGGGGCTGAAGGAGGCCGATCGTGGCTGCTACATGTGCCAACTCAACACCAAGCCCATGATAAGCCAGCTGGGATGCGTGGACGTCCTAGGTATGCCTAATTGCACGCGTTACGTCGCATTCCGGCCGACCGGCCAGGTTTGCGGCTGTTGGCAGAGACGTCACGTACGCACGCACGCACCGCGTTTCGATTAGACCGGCCCCGGAAAATATGCGTGCCTCGCCGCTGGAGCGGCGCGTTTGAATAGACCGCGCCGCATACATGTGCACATAGATATCGCGCGCAATACTCGGAGATCTCTCGTTACGCGTGTTCATGCAGGATAATGACGATGACGTGGACACAATGCGTAAAGTGTAATCACGGCGTTGTTGTACGCTCGCTCGTCGTTGGAAGAGATTTCAGGAGACCGGCGTTAATTGACTTTGGAAAAGTTTTAAAATCTCGGCCCTCCAAATATCCTTTAATTCCGTGAAAGAATCCGTTGAATAATTCGGCACGTCCGCCGCGGGTGAGTTATTCGAGCAAACTTAATTTGTAACACGTGTTTCCTGCGGGAAGAGGATGTAATATCGATTCGGGGGAGTTAGTTTACAAGGAGCATTATCGGTCATATAAGAAACGCTAACGGCTGCGCTTTAATTTATAGTTTAATTAAACGCGATAACGAAGTTCGAAAGTCTACCTGGCAGAAAGTCTACTGGTGTTCGTTGACTGCGTCAGCTGATGGATGCTCTTACTTTGTGGCTCGTACGCAAACGTCCAACTAAACTGTTTCTATCAAATTTACATTATCTTCTTTTAACGTTCATTATATCGACGTAACAACGCGCAACTTTAATATTTGCTCCCTCTACGGTAATATTCTAGATGAAACATCCTTCGGAGCTGCTTCAATTTCGACAGGTGCGCGCAGTCCGTCGTACTCCGTTACGGTATCATAAAATGCACAATTTCACTTTTATATCGCGCCGACGAGCCGGCTCACGAATAATATCATCTACTTTGTGCGTAAGGGAGGAAGCGTGGGGGATGAGCCAAAGGATGAACCGGGGAATGCGTTCCATTCGCGTGCGTGCGTGCCCGTTCGTCGTCGGACACCGGAAAACGGTCTCTCTCTCTCGCTGCCGAATGGAATGAAATTCCTTTACGTAGAAACACGAGAAAATGCCATCCTCTGTTTTTTCCTCGTCGCTCGGTTCGTCTATACGCAGTGTACGTTATACCGCGACATACTTGCTCAGCTTTGGATCATTGTAATTGAAACGAATCGAACGACCCTACGAATTGGATGGAATTCCATTAGAAGGCCATTCCCCGAGGAGGGACGTCCCGCCGATATTTCATTTCCGTCGAGTGTGACGGGAATGATTTTGAGATGACTTTTCGGTCGTCTTCGCCAACGTCGCAGCCAACGTCCAGGTTAAATTGTGTTAGAACGACGGCAATACCGATTCTTTATAGTCCACGTACCCGCCAGTCTTCGTCCGCCATGTTCCGTTTCGGCCGGAGGTCACCGAAGAGACTCGCGCGAAGATATATTGTTTCACGTTGTGGCACGCGATTTCGATCCCATTCGCGAATTGTTCCTTAGACAACGGCGACATCGGGTGATATTACGTCATAATCCTCAGACACGTGTTGAATTTGGAATAGATGGACGCGCGCGCGGTATCGGAAAATTCGTTTCATTTCACGAGGGCTTACACGGATATAACGATCAGTGTACTTAACACTTCGTGTACACACAATGCAGTTTAGAAAACGTGCTTGTTACTCGGCTGTATTTCTTTTTTATTATCGAGCTTTACATATGTTCCCACAGCGTCCGATATGTCGCAAATTGAAATGAGTTATGACGTAAAATATTAATTTAACAGTTTCACGATTGTTTTTTTCAAACGCAATTAAAATGCATGTGGAATTAATTTTCCGTATCACGGAACGAAACGCTACTGGGCAGCGTATTTAAAAAAAACACATCAGTAACAAGGGATTAATTTCACAGAGGACACGCATAAGGAATTATACCGGTGGAAATATTCTTGTTTTACAGTCATAAATTTTTGACAACTTCGTAGTCCTTGTAACTCACCGTGAGATACATGTGTTGTGTGGATTAAATAGTACTACTATTCGTGAAATAGGTCTTTCTTATCAGGGATACTTTATTCACTTTAACCTTACTCTCTAAAAGCCAATCAGTGAATTATCACTGAAAATTATCAGTGAATAGCCACTGAATTATACTTACAAGTATATACAGAGAAAAGGAATATTCTTCTGTTGAAAATATGTTTAGTTTCAACGTGAAAATCTTGAAACGAGATTATATTGCATTAAAGGAAGAAAAACTTACTTGAATTCACTCAAGAAAAATATATGCTTATTGTTAGAGAATAATTTTCTTGAATGAAAAGGAAGCGATATTGGATACAAAAATAACATATTTTCAAATCGAAGATTATAATGATTAAAATGATTTTATTGCCAAGATAATTATATGTATACTTGAAGTGACAATTATGGTATTTAAATAAGACTGCAATATTGTTGGAACGTAAGATTATCAAATGCTTCTAAGAAGATTATAGATTGTTGCGTATATACAAAACAATAAACGCGTTAATTTGAGTATATAAAAGTTGATCCGAGACTTTTTTTCTGTGTACCACTGCAAGTTTTAGCAGTACACTGAGGGACTTTTAGAGAGTATTTTTATGTATTTGCATACAATATTCGTATCCTCGTATCTTTTATTCATTGCCAAGATTGGAGAGACGATCCTATCACTGTGTGTTATTTTCAAATAAAAGATACACGTGCCAAAAATAAGGAAATCGAAGAATTTAAATGAGCACGTAGCTTTCGAGAGTTTTCTTCCGTGACAGTGGGTAATAATTAAAATGATGTAACGCTGCGAGTTTTTTGGTACAGCTGTAATACGATTTTAAACGTGTTATCATTTCACCTGACGAAATATTATTCGACCTCTTTGTTCCAGTGCCGCCCGATATTCTGAGTTCCGGTACCTCAGACGGCGAGGTCTCCGTTCTCGAGGGTGAGAACGCCACGTTGTCGTGCAACGCGTCCGGACGACCGCCGCCTCGCGTGTTCTGGCGACGCGAGAAAAGTGATTTCATACTCGTCAGGGGTATTCACGATCCGTTGATACAAGGTAAGACATCGTTCCGAGATACTGAATTGTCACTCCCAATCTCCGTAATTGTCTCTTTACAACGTCCCTTTACAACGACACGTCTCGTGAAACACGCGTTTGTGTCGGAATGAAATGTCTCTCTGCGAGGAAAACCACAATGCGAATTAATTATTCCCGTTCCTGTAAATATACATTGTGTAACGCTCTTGCGAATTTAATTGGGTATTTACTGCGGGCTTACGCTGAACAGATGACAGAAAGAAATTTTTACTCGGAATTTAGAATGGGAAGCTTTCGCTCTTGTTTTCAGAGAAATCAATTTCAATCAAATGTTATAAAGTTTCGAAAAGCATAATGAATAAATGATCTCTTATCTTCTCTTCTCAGGTATAGAAAAAAAATTTTGACCCTCTTTAATAACTTCGCAAACGTTTTAATGCCTTTGCTCTCGCGCCATTAGAATAATCCCGGTAATCCGACGTGTCTCAATCAAATAGTCGAGCGTTTTAAGGGGATATGAAGACATCGTAAATTCGCACACGTAGGTGATCCCGATCGAAAGCAATTACGGCGGAACACGTTCCATCGAATAGAGATTAGTTTGTCCGCAATGACTTTCAATATCCTTCGGGCACGTCGAGTTCCGCTGCATTTCGCAAGACACCCGCACTCCAGGAATTTTGTGCAGTCGCGCGGTGGATCGCACGCCGCGAATAGATCGAAAGTCGGTTGAAAGAAATACTTGCAACATCATGCGAGTGCCAGCGACTCACGCAGAATTAAACGAGGGCGCTTGTATGACCATTGACGTTCAATTGAAATGATTGACGTCGCGCTAGAGACAAATTTTAGCAATCGATCGATTTCCGATATAGCTCGATGCATCCCGAAGGGTAACATAATACGTACTTTTAAAGTGCTTTCCAATAAAAAACTTTTATAAATGTATCGTTTATTTCATTTATCTGTTATAGTTTTCGAAGCTTCGTGACATTGTTCGATATGTAGATTAACCGTGATGTATAATAGAATGTGGATGTGATTTATTCTGGTTTTTATAGAAGTAGGATTTAAATAACTGTACCAACTTTTATTCTTCGTATAACATAACATCAATGCGTTTTGATAAAAAAAAACTGTTATATAATTAATATTATGTATACTACTATTAATTAAATTAATAGTCCCATTAATTTTATTAATATATTGTTAATATAATGAAAATTATTGAATTTTTCCAGGTATAATCTGCTTTTCCAAAATGTCACGTTATTTGATTAACAATGATCGAAAATGTGGCGCGCAATAATTAAATTCTGAAATAAAAAGATGTTATTTCCCGTACTCGGTAATGCAATCAAATATGCGACCATTATTAATTTAATACAAGTGAGTACAGTGCTGTACGAATTCGTTAGCTGTCAGAACAAATCAACGCATCTTGTATTTTTGATCGATCTTATTAAACTTCTGACACATTTTATCGCGAACATGGAACGACACATTCCACATGTGATTTATGTCGACCGTTCGTTCAATAATAATATGATTCATTATCTTTCAGTTATTTGGAAAGCGCCTACTGCATATGCACGCTAATGCAATTCCTCATTGAATAATGGAAATTGTAAACACGTGGCAGAAATATGGATTTTCAAAGTTATCACTTCTCGTTTTTTTTTAATGGTAAACGGCATTTCTACAAAATACGAAACAACCTACGAGGATGAAAATTCTTTTAATTAACCAGATTAATTTATCGCTGTCATTTACGAGCTTTAATCCCTAATAACGCTTCTACACATTTCACACGATCATCGATCATCGTTTTCATCAATCACGCTGAAATGTTGGGACAAGTTTTACATTAATACAACGGCAATAAATAAAAAATGCTACAAATCTTTAAGTTTGACTTAAAACTGAAATGACGACTAATAAAATTAAAAATTGAATTCTCTTAAGGCAGAAATGTTGACGCTAAATATAAGCTGTATCGCCAATGATAGTAAATTACAGCGACAACAAATTTTGCTACAAATTCATATTCTCTGCTTATCGTTGCGTGCCCCGAAGGCGTATTTCGTGAATAATTACTCAGGCCACGTTAACACGTCGGCTTATATAGCCGACGAGGGAGCAGCTTTCAACGAGATATTCATACAACGTACGATTTTCTAGTGGACAACCTGTCGGGCGAGAGGCTAGAATTAACCAGGGTAGACAGGAGGCAAATGGGGGCTTATCTTTGCATAGCTAGAAACGAAGTGCCTCCGGCGGTCAGCAAGAGGGTTAATCTAAAAGTAAATTGTGAGTACTTGAAAACGATTTATAACGTTTTATACCACGGGCTCATCAAATCGAGATTGAAATCAATTGATAGACAGACAAATCCGTTTATCCAATTGAATGATTATTCTTGTGACAATAATAGAAAATGCTTAATCATTTCCACGCCGTCACATCGATTCGTTTAAAAAGGAAAACACGACGTTATTTGCATTAGCAGAAACAACATAAGAGACACTTGTAAATGTTCAAGTCATATATCGCTCTTTCATTTCTCTGCTATTGCATTTCCAGTCCCTCCTAGCGCGAAAGCACCCAATCAGCTGCTCAGTTCTCCCCTGGATACAAACGTGTCGCTAATCTGCTTAATCGAGGCTTATCCCAAGACGATTAACTTGTGGATGCGGAAGGAGCAAGTTATCATGAGCGGGTATGTACCGAGACAATATTGACAGTTTGGTCTACCGATCCCCGGGCGTAGTTCAAATCCGTTGTTCGACAATCTCCCCGGCGATAAGGGGCAAAACGTTCCGTATTGCTTTTTGCTAAATCGCTCCTGACCTCGGCCACCGCGATTTCGGATATCGATCCCGGCGGCGATCCGGTTATTCTAACAAGATGTCGAATAGCGGAATCTATTCTCCCTATCGCGGACGTTAAACGTAAGTGATATGTCAATGCAGAGGCAGATACGAAATCGACGAGCGAGGGGACCCCGACGAGGAATGGAAGACGACGATCGTGTTGAAGATAAGACGCTTGGAGAAAACGGATTTGGGTGAATACACGTGCTCAGCCTCCTCAAGTATGGGAAAAGCGGAGGCGACTCTCAGGGTGTACGGTGAGTAACCACATACGTAAGACGCAATAAATACGTCATCAAAGGCAAAAATCGTCAACGTTATAGATCTACCCTCCAAATTCTTACGGTATAAATATGATTGGTGTCACTTTTAATGTTGCAAGGATGCAATAATATCAAATTAAGTAAAATTTCAAGCACCGTTAGAGGTAATATTTTAATTCGCTATTCTCTTCGAGCGCAAGAATAGTTTAGCTCTGTTTTCAACAGTATACATTTGGATCTTCGGAAAAGAAGATCCGACATATTCAAATCTATTATTGGCTGTGTAGATAAAAAAAGACTAAAAACCGCGATCGTTTCGAAAAACAAGACTGAAATAGAGGACATGTCCGAAAAGCGAAGCGTCTGGTTCACCCTGTCCCTGATTCATGTGAATATTTTCAGAGATCGAGCGCGTAACCATGCCCAACCGCGTCACCTCGACCAACTGGAAGCGACTGAACCGAGGCAAGTCAAAGCTCGGGCAAGGGACGATAGGCAATAATCGGCTTATCTACCAGCAGGTGAGCACGCCGGCGATGCAGAAGAGCACGGCGCGATTGATTCACAACAGGTACGCGACCACATCGACCACCGCGGACCCGCGTGCTCCCTTAATTAAGGACCAGGGTAACGCCTTTAAGCACAACAACCACAATGACAACCACCAGAATCTTAAGGATAGCAGCGACGCATCCGCAGTCATCGCCAGCAAGCGGATCGTCTTGCCGCTCTGTCTCGTATTGTTCTCGACAGTGCGATAAGACGCGAAGTGACGAGAATTACGAGGATGAGGAGGACGACGACGACGATTGCCACCCCTTTGCAAAAGGAATTACTCTGTGAGCCAGCATGGAATTGTGTTCATCGATCTGACAAACAGTGGGGGATAAGCGAAAGAAGCTCACGAGAAGTCTCGCAAACGAAAAACACGGGGGAAACGATTCTCAGACAACGACGACCGGGGGTCGAGGGGCTGATGAAAGAACCAACTCCTCCTCTTAATTAGCCAGATCAACGTTCTTAGTAGCACGGGGAAAGATCGAGAGGCAAGCGAACACTTGGACGCTTTTACAGGGTAAGATCGAGAGGGAAGCGAGCACTTGGACGCGTGGCATGATAGAAACGCGAAGGAAGGGGGAGTCTGATCCGTTAATGCGAGCGAATGTTGCCCGAGATAACCGCTGCGGATTTTTACGGAAAGACGCTTACGAATGTATTTTTTATGACCCTTTTATCCGTTGCTAACGTGCGAGAAGTTCGGGTGTGAAACGTGCTCTTTGGTTGGATTAAATATATAGTATTAATCTGGATAATTTTAACCCTTGGACAGCAAAAGACTTGATATAACGATTTATTCCAAGCCATACTGCAATTACATTTATTTTTAATATAAACAATTTTCATTAATCTAATTTTAATTGTATTGTAATTTTTATTACATTCACAAATCATTAATTTTATCAGAATATTAATAAGAAAAAAATATGGAAATAACCGAGTGATAAATTAATATAAATAAATGTGAAATAATAAATACAAAGAAATTTGCCGACTAACTTTGATTATTGAGTAAGAAAAAAAATTAATGTTCTAGGCACCGCGCTGTCTGAAAGTTAAAACTACGAGGGAGAGATTTTTATTATTCGAGGAGCGAGTGATTATTCCTCTTTCTTTTCGTGAGATTAATAGGTAACTTGGGAGTAATTTTATATAACGTTAGCGTCAAAAGCCTTATATATATGCAGGGTGTCTATCTGAAATGAGCTGTCACTGTCGTTGACGACGGGGTAGAGCCCGCAGAGTTTAATCGCTTACGTGCGAATTGCAATCTTGATGTGCATACATATACATATATCTCGTAACGACAGTGACGACTCAGTTAAAGTGAACATCCGTTACGTTGCCATTGTAATACGTCTTCATCGATGAATCACACGAACTTTCCGAGCAATTGTGCGATCGTACCCAAACGCAGACAAATAATTAGCATACTAATTTGTATGTAAGAAATAAGACGATAATATCTTTGTTTATTGTGATTGTAAGGGAGCGAATCGATATTATACTTGGCATCATAGCGAGCGTTATCACGTCATATCCGAAATAAGATCCATATCCTCTAGCACATATAATAGCATACCGAACACTTTAGGGAAATATTCTAGGCCATTTCGGTTATCTTGCGTATTTTTTTAAATTACTTGTAGACAAATACTGTACCTTATATATGTCGGTAATGAGGCGAGACCACGTTATAGGTATAGCGTAAGTGGTTAAACGCGAGGGATGTGACAGATGTATTCGCTTTTTAAATAAAAAAAACCGCGTTAAACTTAACACACGGCTTTGCCAGGTTTTGTATAAGGATACGCTCAGCTGCCATCTCGAGAATCGCATACGTGCATCACACACACTGACGATACTTGTATATGATGGAGTAGAAATATATATATATATATATGTACGTTATGTATAAAAATACGAGACACTGCCGGCAAATGATCCTATAATTTCTAGCAATATCACAAAGATCATTTAGTTAATGTTCCTCGCAACAACTATGAACCATATCTTGCTCTGTAATTAAGACTACTATGTAAAGCGACATCACCAGTGTTCATCTTGGAGAGTTATTAAAGTTGACGGAAGAGACAAAATGATTTTCGACTTAAATAATGGTGTAATGTAATGTTCATCAATATGGAGTACAAGTCTTAGTTACATCGCGTGGTTTACAGAGAAGCTAGCATATCCACACAGAGCAAAAATATGTTAAATGTACCTATCTAACGAACCCTGTATATCACAGAATGCTCAATATAATAACTTTACAATGACTATATAAAAAGAATGTTGTTGTTTATAGGACGGAAAAATATATTATGAGAATACAATGAGAAAATGTGCTCAAATTGGATGATATAGCTTTGGGGAGGGGGGGGGGAAAATGTGTTGACAAATAAAAAAAAACTATCGTGCATTTAGCAGTGACGTTCGTTTTGACTTTAAGTCTAGCTTAAACGAGTGTATTTTTTAATGTATTATTGATACGGCAAATATAGCTGTTTGTCGACAAACGGATCTATCAAAACGGCTTTTTATTTTTCTCACATCTCGGACCTTAGGTACATAAATCTATATTAAAATGTAATTTTGGAATACACACCAAATGCAATTGGTCAAAATTGACCTACGCAGGAATGTTACGACCAAAATAAATTGCTAAAGGCCATACAGACGCAACAAAAAGCCACATAGGGGCTTTTCCTTTCACCAATCCTAGCACATTTCCAAAAAGTACCCTGAAAACTAATATTAAAAGAGTTCATTAAATATATATAGAACATGTGTATCGCGCGTCCGAGTATAAATTTTGACGATGCTTGATAAAAATGCTTTACATACCCAACCTTTCCCAGTCGCTTGTCAAACAAGTTCGGCATCAGTGATCTGATATAGGTACAAGTGCATATCAGCAACAATATTACAGTCAGCAGGCTCTGAAAGTTAAATATGGCGGACTGCCAAAAAAGAATACGTTAGTACGTTTAAAACAACTCTCATTAAATTGTCAAGTTGAATTGTAAAATTGCAAGGTCGCTCAAACGCATGTCATGTAATAACGTCATCGTCTATCTATTAAATTAATAGTAACGAAACATTAATTACTGTCGCCTCTTCACGCAGACAGATACTTTGTCTGATCATAATCGCGCTTGGTAATTCAAGCGTCTAGCTTCACGGCCCGAGTTGATTGTCGTATGCGTTTGGCCCGGTCTACAAAGAGTTGTTAGGGCCTGAGCAGAATGACAACTCTTAGAACAATGTTTTACGTTTAATATCTTTGTCTCAGGCCTGGTCTACAATGAGTCGTTAGTCAGAGGTCAGAACTATATGTTGATCCTTTTTCTTCCACCCAAATAGGAAAAGGATAAACTTGCGACAAGGATAAAATTGCGACTTCTGACTAACAACTAACAACTTATTGTGGACCAAACCTTACGTCAGAATCGTAAACGGTTTGACAATCTTTCTGCTCAGGCCCTAAGTCGTATTAACAAATTGTTGAGTATACGTCAACGGTATTATAGGTTATGCAATCAGTCTCAAGTTACAATCACGAAACGTGTATAATTACCATGTTAAATCACGCTCAACTCGAGAAACTGCAAGCAAATCGAGCTCGAAGAACCGCAGATAAATCGCTAACGACTCTCCCACAAATCGTATGAAACAAGGCGCGACATCACTCTCGCGAGAAGCATGAGAGCGGATACGCCATAAGGTTTTCTTGGGGCCGATCGTCGCCACCAAACGTGGATGTAACAACTACGGAGGCATATCTACTTCTCGACACAGTCGATAAATATCACGATGCTTCAAAGGATGTGTTCGAAAATGGATTTAGGTACTGCCAGTGAAAACAGTATAGTTGGTAGCAATGAAAATTACTGGTGCTGCGTTTTTCTTCCGCCAGTAAAGTCAGTAAAGCCTGGTGCAGACTGCACGCAGCAAGCAGCAAGCGTCAAGCAGCGAGGATCCAACACTGCTGAATTTTGCGGAAGCGTCAGCAGTGGCGTAGAAAATATCTCTTCGTTGATTGGCTGCTGCTCGACGCTTGCTGCTTGCTGCGTGCAGTCTGTAGCAGGCTTAAGGCCATATGATGTGCAAAATCCGACCGGCAACCTGGTATATGCCAATAATGCAAGGGTTAGTCCCAGTCTACAATAGAGATTTAAGCCCTAAGCCTTAAGAAATTGACTAATCACAGTCGCGCATTCTTCTCATACTTGACCGTGATTGGCCAATTTCTTAAAGCTTAGGGCTTAAATCATCTATTGTAGACTGGGACTTAGGCTGATGGCAGACAACCATCCGTAAGCTCTTACGGACTTACGTTTTTCTCTGCCTTACCTTAAGTATACGGCTTACGGAAGTCCGTAAGCGCTTACGGATGGTTGTCTGCCTTCAGCCTTACTTTAAAGAACTGTATCCTTGCGAAAAAAAATGGCAGCGACTTCTTTTTTTTTAAATTAAAGAGGAAGGTTCGTACTTTATGTTCCTGTAAACAGTATCCCCGAAAAACAATGTATCAAGTCCATGCACTCCGTCAAACTTTGCGATTTTCACTATAACAAACATGCCCTCACATTTAAAGTGTTATAGTGGTAGGGATGCATCACACCTAAAAAATAAATATAGTCTCTTAAAGTAGAGATTTCAAGCATTAATTTAAAAAAAGAACATAATTTTACGATGATTTTTCGCGGAGTTACCGCCAGTCAAAGTTGACCAATTTTTGCATAAAATTTTTCTATGCCATATTTCTTTTGAGCAATGTACACGCACCGGCATAAATGCTGTCCCTATCCTTGTGAGGTGCGCGCACACAACTACAGGGACTCTAGTTGTGTGCGTGCACCTCGCAAGGATAGGGACAGCATTTATGCCGGTGCGTGTACATACATTGACTTTAGGCATTGAATTTTTAATTCTTCTCAGACATTTGCATTTCGATTAACTATTAACTCAATTGCGTTTATTGCACGCTGTCGAAGTTAATATGTCTAATTTTTGTGCGATATTCTTGTACTTAACATCATGCGCATCATGCGTTAAACCGAACACACCCCATATATTACGCGTATTCATGCAATACGAACAGACCTATGATTACACAAAATAGGCTCGCTGCATGATCTTGTCATTGCAAGATCGATGCTTGAAAGCTCGCAGCCTGATTGGCCTCTGCTTTCACGTTTGAAATTGCAACCGTTACGAATCTAGTGAACGTTCAGTTGTTGGACGCGGAGAAAACATCGGTCGGGCGCGAGAATCCGCTCCGCGTTTCCGTCGATTTCGGCTCGCCGAGAGGGCAAGCCCCGTGTCCGGGGTGTCGTGAGTGAGTGGCGTGTTCGCAAGCTCGTTTGTGGCGCTCAAGCAGCCGCCGGGAGAAGCGTGCCGGGAAGTATCGGTCGTCGTGAGTGAGCCATAGTCGCGAATCGGCCATTCCGTGGCTACTCGGAAGTTCGGTTGTCGCGTCTCGCGTGCCTCAAACCGCTGAAAAAGTCGAGAGTGCACCGCGATCGGGAGTGTCGAGTGTCGCGAGCGTGTGTCTTGAGAGTGAATTTCATCCGTCGCGAGTGTTAATTAAGTCGTCGATGCGGCTTACAGAGTAAAATTGGTGATACTGTGTGTGATATCGTATACAATGCGATATACATGTGATAGTGCATATTCTATTGAGAAGTGTTAAGTGAGTTGTGACCAATTGGGATTACTTCGCGGGAGCAACTCAACAACCGATCCAACGAGGGACCACATGAGGGAGTTACATGACGCCGACGACGCCATAACTATTATCGATCGGTCATCGTGGGATTCGCCGTCGCAAGGTAAGTGCACCTTGCAATACCGACGACGCGACAGTTATCTATTGCGGGTGGTGGCTCATAACCCCCTCGAGCGGCAATAGATGGCGCGCGGCAATAGATTTCGTGCCGGGGTATAGGATATCGCGTTTAAACGAAATAGGATAGGGCATAGGATATCGCGTTTAAACAAAATAATTAATTTTCGGGACTTGCGATCTTTTTGCGTGATGCATCTCGTCGTCGAGAATGACTTTCGCGTTTTGGGTGACACGAGACTGCTAGATTTCGTACCCGGGCATAGGACATAGTGTCAGAACTGCAAAATTTTTATTTTTCTGCACCTATCATATGCGCAACGTCACTTTAAAATAAAAAGTAATATGTCACTCACTGATACGAGTCGCAACAGCAAAGTACATCGCTAATGTATATGTTAAACTGTAACAATACAAAAAT